AGTATTTTGACAACTATGGAAGTTAAACTAACAGGTCTATAATTACTTGGTAAAGATTTTGACCCTTTTTAAATATAGGCACCGCATTGGCCTTACGCCAATCCAGTGGTACTATTCCAGTCATTAAAGAGTCCCTAAAAATTAGAACCAATGGATTTGAAATAACAGAGCTCAATTCTTTCAGACCCGTGAGGTCATGGCATCCGGTCCAGGTGCTTTATTCACCTTTATTCTGTCTAAATAATTCTGGATCATATCAATTGTGAGAAAATGTGGATCATCTGGACCTGTGCCAATACCATGCCCATTATGGAGAAGAGCTCCCCCATGCTGCTTTGTATACACAGAGCTGAGAAGGTATTTAAAAAATTTGCATTCTCTTTGTCCCCAGTCACCCACTTCAGATTATTTTGTAAAGGGCCTACATGCTCGGATCAGACCTTTTTACTATTAATTAAGTGGAAGAATTTTGGGGGGTTGGTCCTTCTATCTTTTGCAATCTGTCGTTCTTTTTAAATTTTTGCAGCCTTTATTTCCTTTTTCATATTCTGTTATATTCTTTGTAATGTTTAAACGATGATAGTGTTCCTTCATTTTTATATTGAATAAAAGCTCTTTTCTTATTATCTATAGCTTTTTTAACTTTGGCCGTAAACCACATAGGTTTGATTTTTAGCCTTTTAAACTGGTTGCCCATGGGAATATATTTTGCAGTGTGTTCACATACAGTCTTTTTGAAGAACTCCCATTTCTGTGTTGTGTTCATCGATGAACTTAAAAAATCCCATCTGTGCTATAGGATATTGGAGAATTTTTATCGTTGTACTATTGAGAGCATCTTCACAAGTTGCATCTTAGTGTGGTACAGCAGCTGCACTGCATCAGACCGTAAAACCCTTCAGAGGGTGTCGAAAACCGCCCAAGAATTATTAGTGTTCAGCTTCACACCTTGGAGGACATTTACAAGAAACACTGTGAACAAAGGGCTAGGGACATCATTAATGATGCCTCTCAACCTAACCATGAACTGTTCATACTCCTTCCATCGGGCAAACGATACAGGTGTCTCAGAGCCTGTACAAATAGACTGAAAAGTATTTTTTTTCCCTGTGGCTGTTAAAGCATTGAACAGCTAATCATTAGACAATATTGCATTACTGTATATTTTATTCACCATTGCATTACTCAATATTTCATCCATTAATGTACTACTCATTGCACCAATTATGGTATTACTGTATATTCCATACCCTGGTTTTTGTTATATTGTTATTTATTGTAAATGGGCCATTTATGCACTTCTGGCTGGATGCTAAATGCATTTCATTGGCTCTGTGCATGTACTTTGCACAATGACAATAAAGTTGAATCTATTCTGATCTCTAGCATATAGGTTGCACCCCAATGAAAAATCAGCCCACTGCTCTAGAAACCCAAATCCTTCCATCTTACACCAGGTCTTCAGCCATGCATTGAGTTCTCTAATCTCCCCATCTTTCCTGAGATGCGCATGGCACAGGTAATATTTCAGAGAATATTACCTTGGAGGTCCTTCCCTTCAACTTGCAGCCTAGTTCTTTAAATTGATTCTTAAGGAGCCTCCACCTTATATGTATTCTGTCATTGGTTCCAACATGGACCAAGACAGCTGGGTCATGCCCAGACCCTCCCAGTAATTTATCAACCCGGTCCACCACATGCTGAACCCTGGCACCAGGGAGAAGTTCTTTGAGAACTCTCGGGTGTAAGCCATCTGGTCCTGGTGCTTTGTTCACTTTATGCTTTTCTAGTCGTTTTTGAACACAGGTCTCTGTCAGCCACAAGGGTACATTCAATATACTGTTATTTACAATAATGTCTTGTTTATTATACCCCTCCTTCATTCGTATAAACTGAGAAGAATGTATTCGATACAGTTGCCCTCTCCCTGTCACTTTTGACCAACCGCCCTGATCATCTTTTATGTGGCCAATATGCTCTAACCTCGCCTTTTTTGTTATTAATATATTTAAAAAGATTGGGGGGGATTTTTTTTTTTTTACTCTCCTCAGCAATGTGTACTTTGCAATCTATTTTAGCTGGCTTAATTGCCCTCTTTGTAGTTTTGGAATGCCAATGATGACCCTTCAGCTTTATATTCATTAAAGGACTGTGTTCTCATTGATATGGCTTTTTACGTTAGTATTTAGCCACCCAGGTTTAACTTTTGTTCTTTTATATTTGTTCACCAGTGGAACGCACTGATGAATGCCGTTGTGTATTATGCCCTTAACTATTTCCCTACCAGGCCAATTCTGTCATTTCCCTCCTACATGTAAAAATAATAATTTTTTTGCTAGAAAATTACATACAACCCCAAACATATATTTTAACCAGAGGCCCAAGAGAATAAAATGGTGTGTTTTGCAATTTTTATGTCACATGGTAATTTTAAAGCATACCATGTCAAGCTTTAAAATTGTGTACAACCGTAGAATGGCACCAAACTACGGTACCTAAAAATCTTAATAGCCTTTACAGGTTACCGGTTTAGTGTTACACAGGAGGTCTGGTGTTAGAATTATTGGTCTTGCTAGAATATTCATGGTGATACCTTCCAGTGTGGTGCAAACACCGTTTCCATATGTTTGCACGACCTACGTTTGTGTTCATCTTTGCGTGTGAAAATGAGAGGATGAGGCACTAAAATTTTTAACATTTATTCTTTTTTTTACATTGTACCTGAAATTGTCCACTTTTATTGCTATCACAAGGAATGTAAAAATCCCTTGTGATAGTAGTAAGCAGTGACAGGCACTCTTTATTCTTTAACCGCTAGGATTGCTTTTACATTACAGAGGATTGGCTGCTGAAAAAAAAAAAAAAAGGTACCGGGATGAAGCCTGTAGCTGCAGGCATTATCCTGGTATCTCCACTCAAAATCCAGGGCGTCATATGACATCATACATGGTAGGAGTGGGTAAAGCATTCCCACTTCTTTTTAGTGTTCTTTGCTGCAAGAATTTGATCCAATTTAGTGTTATAGTATGGGGACAACTTATTAAAGTTGGTTCTTTTAAAATGGATTGTTCTGATCCTACCCTCGTGTCCTTTTCCTATAATTTATGGTAAACCTAATTACACTGTGATCACTGCTACCTAAATTACCCCTTACTTCCAGATCTGTAATCAGCTTTGTGTTGTTTGTGATAGTAGGCCCCCAGAGCATTATCACTAGTTAGAGCTTGCACTATTTAACTCAAATAATTGTACTTCATTAGTTCAAGAAATTATGACCCTTCGTTGAGTGTGCAGTTCCATCTGCTCAATCAATATCAGGATCATGATTATGATCATGATTATAACATTGCTGTGCCTCCTCGCCATCTCTAACTCTGAAAGTAGATGTGTCTCATTCACTGTCTTAAAGTGGTATCAAACGCTAAAACATTATATTGCAGCCTAACAATTTTTAGATGTGATGGCTATGTTAGTTTTCTTTTTAGGCTTTCTTTCTTTTATTTTCACCTTGCGATCAAGCCACTAAGTCTGCTGTTTTTCAACGGAACAAGCTCTCCTACAAATGTATCAGTTTAGAGTGTTGAGACAAACCAAAAAAAAAAAAAGAAACGAATGCAGGTGCCACATGTAAGGATTGGTAAACTGAAATACACAGTATTAAAGCGACGTTCGGGAGGGCGATCTTCCAGCTGAAACAGAAGTGGGGGCAGGTACATATAGAAACCAGGTACCCGCTCCCCCCCGAAAGGTGCCAAATGTGGCAGCGGAGAGGGGGAGAAGGCAGAAAAGTGGAGCTACAATCCAATAGACAAACAAACGAAACCAGCGTTCCAATCCTCATGTAGACTAATAGAAATTCAGGATGCCAGACGAAGAGGTGCTGCCCTTCAAAGATCGGGAAATCTGAACACTGGTGAAAAAAAGCAGACAAGGGCGCACTCTCTTCATGCATTACCGTGGTATACCATGTGTTTATCAAATAGACAAATGGATGTATATTTAAATTTTATTTTTTTTTTGTCTATTTAATGTATACCACAGTAATGCACGATGAGAGTGCGCCCTTGTCTGCTCTTTTTCACCAGAAAAGTGGAGCAGTATTACACTGTATTCTAAATATATCTATGAATGCAAACTGCAGAAAGCATTCCTTTAGCAATGTATTGTCAACTAGAAAAGCTACAATTTCTGGGGAAATTGTGTGAAGTGTTCTTGCCTGCACTCTGCTGCCTGCTCCCACACCTGGGTTCCTATGGCAACTCACTCTACAGCAAGGGCAGAGAACAGCGGTTAAAAACAAACTGCTCCAACTTGCTCACTTCACTGGCAGTTGCCATCTTCAAACGGTTGTAATTTAAAAATTATAAATCCTACACTGAAGAGCCCAGACCTACATTTTGATGCATAGTATGTCTCTGAAATATTAAAAATGAAGGCACAGTCGCAGTTTAGCAATTGCCCTTCAAATCTGAGATGGCTAGAGTGCAGTTTCAATGAATGTCAATGGGCGGCGTGAGTTGCAAACAAATGGTCATATTGTGAAAACTATCAGGACTATGGCTTAGCCGTGGACATTTTTAGTGGCAGCAGGGATAGCTGAACGTTTTGATATAAGATTTGTGTAGGTGGGCTTGAAAAAGAGGGAGTGATGGCAGTTTAGAAATCATGTCCTGATTTTTCAGCTCCCACTCTAGTTTTGAACATTCCGCCATTCATTCCTATGGGACCAATTTCACCACACAAATGCCGATATTTCGTGAACCATTCGGCGAAACGTTCCACAAAGTAATAGCACACCAATCGGGAACAAAACGCATGTCTCGGTATATTACTGTCTATGTAGTGTAAAAACTGTGGGAGTTAGGGTGGTAAATTTGGCTATAATAAGAATATATATGTGAGCTAACAGGAAGTGGTCTTGCCATGCAAGAACACTTAAGTGTTTTTTTTTGGTTTTGTTCTCAATAAATGCAAATTATACCTTGCAATTATATACTTACTTAAAGGTTTGGCAGTTGTTAATGATGGCGATCATATACTGAACATAGCATGCAGGAAGTTGACGGTTCTTCAAATGTTCTTCCTTATAAAGCTGAGCTTGTTCACTGTACCTGAGGGCATCACAGATTTTTTCACACAGTTATAAGAAAAACAGGGCATTAAGTCAAATTGAAAAAAGACTTATCAATCAAGTTCATGCATGTGCTAAAATCTTCAACCAAGCAGGATTCCACATCTGTCATGAGAATGTTGAAATCAAGCGGACAAGTGATCGGTCTAGTGTTCTTATTTTCTGATTATTCTATTCACTTACAAATATATCTGTGCCTATGCAAGTTCAGATTCAGAGTGGAAACTCCAAAAAATGTACTTTTTTTTTTTCTGTTTTGGATAAAAAAATAATTAAAGGGCGGCATCTCTGTTAGGTATTTATTGTTGCCTTAGTCCATATTGGAGAGATTTCATTTCCTGTATGGTCACTTTGAAAAGAAGTGCGTGGAATCTCCCGAAAGGACATAAAAATAGCAATACAGTTTTTTTGTACTCACAATAAGATTATTTTCTCCAGTAGTTCACTGGGGGAAACTGGAATTAAAGTGTTACTAAACCCATGACCCTGTATTCACTATATCTGCTCTCCCACAGTTCACAGAACATGAAAATGCTATTATTTTAGTAAATATAAACTGCTAAACACCTTTTCTCATCATCAGTATATAGCAGTCTTTTGACTTCTATCAGTGTCTGGCTGAGCACTAGTTAAAGCTTGTAGGAGTTTTTATTTTGCTCCAACTGTCCCATGAGGCTGCATAACCCCTGACCCTCTGTCTGGACAGTGCTGATCACATGCACCCTCCCAAAGAAAAAAAAAACCTCTCTAGCTATACACACTAAACTGAGCTTGTGCAGAGTTCTAGAGCTCTGTTCTATCAACAGATGGATTGGGGACAGTAGAAGAAGGGGAGGATCAGAGAAGACAGGATCAAAGAGCCTTTTTAAACAAAGCTGAGAATTAACCCCCTAGGTTCCACAATGAGTATAACAAGAATGTTATACTGCATATACAGACTGATTTTACTGTTGTGTGTTTAGTAACACTTTAGGTTCTCAACCAATGGAGTAAAGCTGCCAACTGGAAAAGGTTGACTCCAATGAAAAAAAGGGGGCATCCAAGAGGCGCTGGGACTTAGATATGAGTTTATACAAAGTAACATGAGGGCAAAAACATTTGAAGAGCCCATTGGCTTAGGTTACGTTGCTCCCAACAGACAAGGTTACCCTCCAGTGGGTACTCCAGCAGGTTACCAGTAAAAAAAAAAAACGGGCATACATGGAAGGAAAGCCAGACCAAAAGATAAAAGTCAAAATTAATTCACTCATACTGTGCTAAAGGACAACCAATGCGTTTTAGGGAGGGGGGCAAAGTAACTCCCTCTTCATCAGAGCTTCAGTTAAAAATGAGAACCTTGAACTCAAAGTAAGCTTTCCCAATTGAATCTGTGCAGGGAAGCTGCTTGCTGGATTAGAAGAATTTCAGGCCAAACAGTATCTGCATGAGCAGTCAAAAAAGGAAACATTTGCTTGCAAACATTGTAGTGTAAATTTGCCCTTAAAGCGGTATTAGGCCAAAGCAAATATTTAATATACTGCAGCTTTCGAGTTCTTAGATATGATAGCTGCATAAGTATTCTTTTATTAGGCTTTCTTTCTTTCATTTTCACCTGGTGATCTGGACAGTAAGTCTGTTGTTTTTCATGCTGTTTTGCAGATGTAACAGAGGGTTGAGACAAACCATTTACTACTGACAGGGGTGCTTACAATGATCAACTTTTTTAAATGTAAAAAAATTTATCCCAAAAGGAAAAAAAACTGGTCTGATGTAACTGCTATTGAAGTGTTATCTGAAGTTCAGCTTCAATTTGTTAATGTATCTAAATTTGCTATTACATCTAACACTCCATCCAGATTAACAATACTGCTGTCCAAAGGTGCCCCTGCCCTCCATCATCCAGAGTGGGGGCACACTAATACAGAAGGTGTGTTACTGGCCAGACCACCAGGTAAAAAGCCTAAAAAAAGAAAACTAATGAAGCCACTACATCTAATGATCAGTAAGCTGCAATATATAAAATTTTTGGTTTTACGTTTAACACTACTTTAATTGTAATGTATCCCTAAACAGTCCTAATTAATTCCCCATTCTTCCCTATTTTTCTTTATATAAGCAGCAAGAAATCCTCAATTTTCAATCTTGAACCAACAAAGATGGAAGTGAAAGCCCATTTCCTTATAGAAAAATGAAAATAAAATGATGCTGGCTGGTTTGCTTGGCAAAAGAGAACAGCCCTGAACAAGAAGTAAAATGTTTTCCTTTCTTAGTTCCCAATCTCCTAGTGGCAGGACAATGGTCTTCTGTGTCCCTCAATGAGCGCTGAGTAAAACTATTCAAGATGTAATCCAGGCATAGTATATTGTTACATAGTTACATTACTCCAACTAGGTATTTTATATACCATACATGCCTAGAGAAGCTGAAAAATCACTTAAGTAGACACCACTGTCTCAGTGATCTACATTTGCTTCTGGATCCCAAGCTGAGTCGCCAGGCTGATGCAGTGTGAACACAGGAGGTCCGCCACTTAGCATTTTTTTTAATGAATGCAAAGTGTTCTCTGACTGGATGAGGTAAAGAGGCAGGGGGGGTGATGTCAAGCTTTCCACCTCACCCAGTGGTGTCTAATTCAGTGATTTCCAACTTCCAGGGGCATTGGTCAGGTTTGGCATATACATATTTACATTGGTCCAAGATGGATCAATGCAACTATGTTAAAATATACCATTCCTGGAATTTTTCCTTAACCACTTGAAGCCCAGACACTTTCCCCCCCTTCCTGTCCAGGCCAATTTTCAGCTTTCAGCGCTATCACAATTTGAATGACAATTGCGTGGTCATGCACCACTGTACCCATATGAATTTTTTAGCATTTTTTTGAGACAGATAAAGCTTTATTTTGGGGGTATTTATTCACCACTGGGATTTTTACTTTTTTTGCTATATAAATGAAAAAGTCCAAAAATTTGGAAAAAAAAAGTGTTTTTCTTATAACATTTTGCAAATAAATAAGATTTCATCATGAATCTTGACCAAAATGTATTCTGTTATCTTTTTAGTAAAAAAAATAAATAACCCAGATTAGTTGATAACCAAAAATTATAATTTTGAAAAAAATGTTTTTGCATTTTTATTTTTTTTTTATATTATTTATGTTTTTTTATATTATTTATGTTTTTGTACCCTAGCAGTACAGTTTCACCATGGTGACATTGTATTACTTGTATCTCTGGCTGAATTCTTGCAGTCATTGAGAAATACTGTGTGAGCTGTGATTGGTCACAGCTTGTGACATGGTACAAAGCTGTTGTGAATAGCCTTGTACCATGCGACCTCTGTGATCATTCACAGGTTTCACACTTAGTAAGCAATGATGTCAGAAGTGACAGCTTGCTTACTACTCTGCATGTGATCACTGATTAACCAATCAGTGATCACATGATCGGGACCTCGCACAGAGGTCCCGTACGACGATCAGTGTTTCACTGTGTCCGGAGGAAACAGCGGGCACTGGATCACGGTGCTGCATGCTCCCAGGTAGCACGCACAGTCCAAAATGGCGGACGCCGTTTATGAACGGCAACCAGCCCCTGGACTGCCACCATCCGGCCATTTATATACAGCGGCCGGACAGCAAGTGGTTAAAATATTGTCGGTTTCAAGAAAATCTATATGTATCACAGTAGCAAATAAAATAAATCGTAATATTGTGCATAATAGGCATTAATATCGGTCTTAATACCTGTTCAGAAATGTATTCATCTGCTGGAGGCACAAATGCAGAACCTTTTTCTTCAATTCTTCACTAATTTGAGCAGCTACCTGAAGGTTCTGCTCAAACATCTGTAAACAGAAACAGAAAACTGCCTATCAACATAGGGTAGAAATATAATAACAGATGCAGATTTCTTGATTTTAATGGTAAACCCACATTCTGGTCTCAGTTTACTGACAAAAGGGAACTACTTACTACAAATTCAAGGGAAAGGAGAGTGTATTTTCAGTGAGCACATACTTAATTGTAATTTAGATAACACAAAGGAATGCAATGTTTTAAACAAGACAAATTTGTTTGAAATTTTCATTCTTAATGGGAAGGGAAAAAAGTATTCACAACTCAAGCAGCCATGATGCTCAGCCTTAATTTATAAAGGGAAAATACAGTAGCTGTTTCAGTGTACATATACAATAACAAACAGTCCATAGAAATATGTTTTCAAAATATTAAAGCTCAAGCCAAGAATCGTTACTTTCCATTTTTGGTTTTAATGAAGAAGGGTTGGAACGTCTGATAGGATTTATTGCTGTCTGTGTCCCCTGTGGGGAAATTTCCCCTGATTCAATCAAATCCCCCTGATGAAGCCACGTGACCAGTGGCGTAACGCGTAGGGGTGGGACTGTAACGTCACTCGGAGGGAGTCAGTTTGTTTGCCGGACCACGAGTACACAGCTCCGATAATCAGCGGCGGTTTAGGATTGCATTTGTGCTAGCACTATCCGCACACTTTATATGTGAGTGCCATATCATCAGCAAATAAAAGGCATACTTATATAAAAATAAAGCACCATGTCGAGATTTTTTTTTATGTGGAGAATCGCATGGAGATGAAAGTATAGAGGAGTTGCACCCTCTGGAGAGGAGATTCATCCTATAGCATATGTGCATACCATGGATATCTTAAAGCAGGAGTTCTAAACAAGTAGGTTCACAAAGGAGGTGAACCGCAAGCTTATATAGCTAACATTGCAGGCTTCTTATGAGGTGAGCGCACATCTTCACTGGAGGGAGGATTCACAAGCAGTCACCGATTTATAATTATTGTAGATTCTTAAGGGACATTATCTTTATTTTTCATAAAGCCTTATTGTTATTGTTTATTGTTATTTTATGTTCACCAAATATTTTATTTTTTATATTTATTTATAAATGTATTTTCATGACATATTTAAAGTATTAGAATATTAGTATTTATGTTTATTTACACACATCATTCTGATTTATAGAGATCTAATTTAAATAACAATATATTGATTTGAGGTTTGGGAGCGCAACACTATATATTTATTTTTTGCAATCACTAGATCTATTGGATGCATTTTTTCATTGCTTTGGCTTTTTTCTCTCAGTTTTCAACTGGTGATCTGGCCAGTAACACACCTCCTGTATCTGCGAGACACTCTGGAAGCATGAGCACAGGAGGCACAGCAGACAGCAGCATTGCCAGTGTAGGGGGAGAGGTATGTTAAATGTTTTAGCAAATTTAAAATACACTAAACTGAAGCCAAACTTTAGCTCACACTTTATAATCAGGTACAGTAAACATTTGTTTTTCTTTTTGGGATATAGATTTTACATAAAATAAAAGCTGATCATTTTAATCACCCCTGTCAGTGTTAAGTGGTTTGTCTTTCCCATGTAAATTTATACAATTCTGCTAGAGAGCTTGTGCTGCTGAAAAACAACAGACATGCCGCCTGAATCACCAGATAAAAATAGCAGAAAGAAAGCCTAAAAAAGGAAAAAGCCATTACATCTAAGAACTGGTAAACTGCAATATAATAAATGTTTGATTTTGGCTTTAATACCAGTTTAACAGGAACAGAAGCATTATCAAAAAATGTTTAAAGATTTTAAAATCTTTTTTACACTAGAAACTTTAATTTCAATACCCTAGCTATCACCTACTCCATTCGCTCTTATGTGGTAAGAGAACATTGGAAACTTATGTTAGACTGGCCATAGACATACAGATATTTCCACAAGAACAATGGTTGGAGAGACTGACTCAATATTGGAAGTTGCAGACACACGTTACTTCTGATCCTACATGCTTGTCTCTATAGGGTAAAAAGAGCCTTCGGGGGCCTGAGGTATTCATTACTGCCCTCTTGTATTTCAGAAACATCTTTATAATTTCAAGTGATGCTCAAAATCCCTTTGCATGTTCTTATCGAGACCAACCTGGCTGAAAGAGCTGCCCCTAAAAGAGGTGGTGATTGTCTTCACCATAATGCAACTAAAAGCAGTTGTAGGACTAGATCAGCCTTTCTTAACCAGGGTGCCCTCAGGCTTCTTCAGAGTTGCCTTGGCAAAATGCCTAAAACTTGCCCAAAAATTGAAGACAAGCTAGCAGGTGGATCAAGCCTGCCTTTTAGTTCACAAAGCCGCAGGTTTTCATTGTGCACTTTAAAGACCTTCTAGCTGCTGGCTAACAACCAATGACATCATCAGTTTATAAGAAGAACATTGGGTGCCTGCACAACATTCTTGCTTGCTCCTCCCTGTCCCTCTCTCCGTCAGCACTGGGGTCACATTAGCTGAGTGATGACAAGAAACTGAGGGAGAAACCCTGCAATACTAGTAAGTACCAGTGTGTGAAAATTAATTTGGAAGAATAAATCACCTCTATTGCTGGGAGTACTACCTATTTAATTTGGGAGGTGCTGTGCATCCATGATAATCTCTTTCACTATCCCACCCACTATTTATTTTGCTAGTTAGTGGGCATGAAGTAGGAGGGAGGATGTGGGCTGTCATTCATCAACTGCATATATGCCTACATGTATGATGTTACAGTCATGTGACCTGCACAGCTCCGATCACAGAGGAAATGTCATGTACTGATACACAGATAAAACAGAGCATGTGCATTGCTTGTCCACGATGCTCTGTAAAATCAGCAGCTGAACCGGGGACAGAGAAAGAAGGGAGAATCAGATGCAGGCAGGATCAACCAGGTTTTTTACACAACGCTGAGGATTAACTGCTTAGGTGCCAGAGTAAGTATGACAAGGATGCATTACTGCATATACAGACAGATTTTTTTTCTTGTGGGTTTATTGACACTTGCTTTCAACAGATAATAATCTCCTTACTTTGACCCAACATCAGAAAATGCTCCCTAACTTGCACAAACAATTGGAGAGCTATACCATATTGTCAGGTTTAAAGTCATCCTTTCCAAATCTGAAGTCTTCCCAAAAAATGTACCCACTACGGAAATTCAGCATATCGCGACTCATTTCCCCTACGCTTTGAGACTTCTTAACGCAATAAAATACTTGGGAGTAAAAATAACACCTACAGTCAGGTCCATAAATATTGGGACATCGTCACAATTCTAACATTTTTGGCTCTATACACCACTACAATGGATTTGAAATGAAGTGAACAAGATGTGCTTTAACTGCAGACTGTCAGCTTTAATTTGAGGGTATTTACATCCAAATCAGGTGAACGGTGTAGGAATTACAACAGTTTGCATATGTGCCTCCCACTTGTTAAGGGACCAAAAGTAATGGGACAGAATAATAATCATAAATCAAACTTTCACTTTTTAATACTTGGTTGCAAATCCTTTGCAGTCAATTACAGCCTGAAGTCTGGAACACATAGACATCATCAGACGCTGGGTTTCATCCCTGGTGATGCTCTGCCAGGCCTCTACTGCAACTGTCTTCAGTTCCTGCTTGTTCTTGGGGAATTTTCCCTTCAGTTTTGTCTTCAGCAAGTGAAATGCATGCTCAATCGGATTCAGGTCAGGTGATTGACTTGGCCATTGCATAACATTCCACTTCTTTCCCTTAAAAAACTCTTTGGTTGCTTTTGCAGTCTGCTTTGGGTCATTGTCCATCTGCACTGTGAAGCGTCCAATGAGTTGTGAAGCATTTGGCTGAATATGAGCAGATAATATTCCCGAAACACTTCAGAATTCATCCGGCTGCTTTTGTCAGCAGTCACATCATCAATAAATACAAGAGAAGCAGTTCCATTGGCAGCCATACATGCCCACACCATGACACTACCACCACCATGCTTCACTGATGAGGTGGTATGCTTAGGATCATGAGCAGTTCCTTTCCTTCTCCATACTCTTCTCTTCCCATCACTCTGGTACAAGTTGATCTTGGTCTCATCTGTCCATAGGATGTTGTTCCAGAACTGTGAAGGCTTTTTTACATGTCGTTTGGCAAACTCTAATCTGGCCTTCCTGTTTTTGAGGCTCACCAATGGTTTACATCTTGTGGTGAACCCTCTGTATTCACTCTGGTGAAGTCTTCTCTTGATTGGTGACTTTGACACACATACACCTACCTCCTGGAGAGTGTTCTTGATCTGGCCAACTGTTGTGAAGGGTGTTTTCTTCACCAGGGAAAGAATTCTTCGGTCATCCACCACAGTTGTTTTCCGTGGTCTTCCGGGTCTTTTGGTGTTGCTGAGCTCACCGGTGCGTTCCTTCTTTTTAAGAATGTTCCAAACAGTTGTTTTGGCCATGCCTAATGTTTTTGCTATCTCTCTGATGGGTTTGTTTTGTTTTTTCAGCCTAATGATGGCTTGCTTCACTGATAGTGACAGCTCTTTGGATCTCATCTTGAGAGTTGACAGCAACAGATTCCAAATGCAAATAGCACACTTGAAATTAACTCTGGACCTTTTATCTGCTCATTGTAATTGGGATAATGAGGGAATAACACAAACCTGGCCATGGAACAGCTGAGAAGCCAATTGTCCCATTACTTTTGGTCCCTTAACAAGTGGGAGGCACATATGCAAACTGTTGTAATTCCTACACCGTTCACCTGATTTGGATGTAAATACCCTCAAGTTAAAGCGGACAGTCTGCAGTTAAAGCACATCTTGTTCGTTTCATTTCAAATCCACTGTGGTGGTGTATAGAGCCAAAAATGTTAGAATTGTGTCGATGTCCCAATATTTATGGACCTGACTGTATGTATGGGGCTTTATATAAAGCAAAATTTCCTGCCGTTATTTAACATACCATTCACACCACTTTGAGAGTGTGCCACTGTCACCATATCTCTTTTCTCAGACGTATTAACCTCTATCAAGATCACCATTCTTGATCACCTACAAAACTTCATCATCTTTTTTAAACCCTACCAATTCCAGTCCTGGCACATCAGCTTAAAAAATGGTTATTTTAAATATCATTTGGGAGGACAAAAGAGGAGCGGTGACCTCTTGGTGAATCCTATATGCCTATAGCAGTTGGATGGAGATATAGAAACTCTAGTTAGTGCCAATTCACCTCAATAACCTCCTATGGAATGCAGACGCCCCGATAGCCTTGTCTTCTCTCCTGCAAAGCATGGTATACCTTCGCACCTTATGGAAGGCTCTGAGATGCAAATATAATCTTATGGCAGAGGCCTCGTTAATGACTGCATTTTTATTCAACCCTAAAGTGCCAGATAGCCTAACGTCTCAGATGTCCCAACCATATGGTTGTCAGTGCAACTGTTTAATTTCAGCAACTCAGTGGACACAACAACCAGAAAATTATTACCCTTTAACACACTAAAAATGGTAGCTGGAGTTAGATTCCAGCTACCATTTTTAGCATACTTTGGTTACCTGCAGATATGACACTAGGCCCAATCTCTCATTCCATCTCTAAAATTTTCCAAGTTAACACCCTTTCTAACTAACCACTCTCAGAAGGGTTTGATTTCAGACATTTATAAAATACTGAATGCGATCACTTTCCCAACACACGAGAAACCTTCTTAGATGTCTAAGTGGCAAAGGGTTCTAGTTGAGGAGCTGACCCTAGAGGCATTGCAGGTCGTCTGGTCTCATGTAGCAAAGAGCTCCTTTAAAAGGACAATTTCTACAAAATTCTCTTCTTCTGGTATATGACTCCGGTGACCCTCCACGCAATCCACCCCACGTCCAACGACCTCTGTTGGAGATGCCAACAAAAGTGTGGCTCTCTCACTCACATATACTGGCATTGCCAACATATAACCTCTTACTGGCGATCGGTCTGACAGTTACTGCAGAGGTTGCTTGACATAACTGTTCCTTTCACCTTCAAACTATTTGTTTTTTGCTTACTTCTCAGTATCCTCTCCAAAAACGCCAAAAAGTTAGCTTGTCATATACTTACGGCAGCTTCCTGATAAGTGGCTCTCCACTGGAAAAAGAGGGATCCCTTTTTCAACTAGAATTAAGGACGTGGAACTCATGGAGACCCTAACAGTGTGTAAATATAATGCCTTAGATAAGCATAATGCAGTGTGCGAACCCTGGCACCGCTTGCAAGAAGTGTGATTTGAACTTCCGAATCCAGTAATCGTAGCCGAGTCTTTTGTTTTTCCATTGTTCATTACCATGCAAAGCGTTGTATTTTTGAAAAAAACTTTAATAAATATCTACAAAAAAAAAAAAAACTTTCAATATCCTCTCCTCCCCAAATAGAGGGAAAATGGCAGGATTTTAGCACAGAACTGCTGGGGAAAACTATTAAGCAGAGTAGTGCCCTTTTCTTTTTGTCTGGGAGGAAATACAAGTACTGGAGTACTGGTTGGTAGAGGGAATTGCTTGTTCTTCTTGGGCAGTCAGCCTTATATTTCTTGCTTAAAAAAGGGAGGAGCATTTTTTTCACGGAGCTTTCCTAGAACACGTTACAATTTTTTTTAAAAGTTTAATCATTACCTGAAAAACAATAGCTGGCAATGTGGTCTGGTAGTAACCAGCTTGGTCCGCTTCAGGTTCTGTATCTTTATCCCAGTCTTTTTTGTCTGTTTCTAGTGCTTTTCTCAACCAAGCAATAATATTAGACTAAATGGATAACAGAAGAAAATACATTGTACAATTATATATAAAACTTCACATATTTAGCTTGCACAAGTAGATAATAAAATAAAAATATATCAAATAATGAAATAGAATTTATTTTTATTCATTGTAAACACAGTTCTCTTGTAGTGTTTTAAGAACATCGGACTCAGATCTTCAGGCTAAAGCAATGCCTCCTTGCAAAGTAGAGAGGCACAGCCCCATCTAGTGCCTATACCAGTACACAAGCAACAACAGAAGCTCAGGAATAGCAAACCATGATCAATAAGGAAACACTGAAGGCAGAGGCCAAAATAAAAGAAAAAGAAAACATAACATAAATAAAGAAAAAAAAATCACTGCCACTTTATATCCAAAGCTAGCCCCCAGGATGCTATGACATTCACAAGAAAACAAAAATGGGCAAAAAACTGTGGACAGGTACCAGTTTTGCATATGTGGTAAACCAAAGTCTGGTGACAGAAAGCCCAAGAACAAAACAAATGGTGACTGGAAAAGGAGGATCCTGTTTCTTAACATGGACCTTGCAGTAATATACAAGGTCTACATATTAGATCATGACCCCCTACTCCTGCAATAACTGCTACATAGTAATAGTTAAAAAATGTATCTGAAAGTAAAATACTAGACTTGGACCGATACCAGTATCGGTCGTGATACTAAGCATTTGCATGAGTACTTGTTCTCCAATATCTGAAACTGATACCTTTGTGGTGTGATTTGAGTCCATACAAAATGAATTACCACAAATCGCACTGCAAAGAATCGTGTGCGATTCCTGTCCGAATCCCATGCGGTTTCCTTGCGGGTACAATGGGGCTTTGCAGTGCAATTTGAGCCATTCATTTTATATGGGCTCAAATCGCACTGCAAAGGTATCGGTATCGGTGAGTACTTGAGCACAAGTATCAGTACTCTTACTTGCCTATTAAAAACTGGTATCGGTGCAGCCCTATAAGATACTTGTGCATGCAGGTCCACAAACGTATACGATCTCCACTCGTGGACCCACACCCGCACAGATGTCAAATTGGGAGCAGTGGCTGTGTCCATTTGACCTGAATGGGGCTGCTTGCATGCCGATGAACGAAAGACTTGTGCATCCAGTTCAGGCAAAAACACAGCCTTCGCACAGGTGTAAGCTTACGTATGTCCATGTAAAGGAGGCCTTAGAACTCATGAAAAATGTGATTACCATCTGTGATCCCTTTAGGAGGGCCTTGGATTATTTATTGCACTACTGACTCTGCAGTAAAAACTGTGATTCCCACACACTTCTCATTCCAAAACACAAGAGATAAAGGACTGCAGTGAAATCTAATTTCAGAAAGCATTCACATTTCTTGACTCTATTTAATAGCACAACATAGCTTTGGCTGGAGCTGGACTTTAAAAATTATTATTCTTTTGTAAATTCTGTATTTTATACATTAAAGTAATTTAAAATGCTGCTTACCTGAAGAGTTGCCATATATTTATGCAAAAGCTGGTCCACTATTTCTTCAGAGAGAAGTGGTTTCAGTAATTTTACATCTACTTCAGGAACTAATTCTAGATTCCCCATCATTTCAGAACTGGAATAACAATGCACAGGTTATAATACTTATGAAATATCAAGAAAGTAAAAAATATATATATAAAAAATAGCAGGTACTAATCCATCTGGGATTGGGATGTGTGGGTGGGGGTCATGGGTAGATACAAGGAAGAATACATGGAGGACCTACTTTTCTTTGCACTTTTAAACTGCACAGATTTCCAGTAATATGGTGGTTTCAGATGAGCTGGGAAGCCAGAAAGCTACGGCAGGAGATGCCCTTGCATACGCAGCATATTCAAAAAAATGTACATTTTAAATTTAACTCAGTATGTGGTGAGGCCTACACAGGAAACTGTGCCAATCAGACCAAAGGATATGGGTGTAAATATGATTGCTGTTTCTCTTTTACAGATATAGAAATTCTGCCTATTAAAAAAAAGAGTGGAGAGGCCTACTGGTTAGCACTTCTGCCTTACACCAATAGGGCCATTGGTTCAAATCCCGGCTAGGATGCTATCTGCACGGGGTTGGTTTATCACCCTGTACTTGTGTAGGTTTACTCTGGATACTCAAGTGTCCTTCCACACTTCAAAGAAATGCTGGTAGCTTAACCACTTCCCGTCCGGCCGTTGTATATAAACGGCCGGACGGTGGCACTGCAGGGTCGGGTGGCCGTCTATAAACGGCCTCCCTGCACCCTGCTTGTGCGCGCTCCCTGGGAGCGCGCAGCACCGCGATCCGGTGCCCGCTGTGTCCTCCAGACACAGTGAAACACCGATCGTCGGATGGGACCTCTGTACGAGGTCCCGATCATGTAGTAAGCACTTGTGACATCATTGCTTACTACGTGTGAAATCTGTGAATGATCACAGAGGTCACATGGTACAAGGCTATTCACAAAAGCCTTGTACCATGTGACAAGCTGTGACCAATCACAGCTCACTCAGTACTTATCAATGAGTGCAAGAATGCACACAGAGAGAAAGAGAAATGATTGCTTTTACATCCTATATGGGTGTAAAAGCAATCAGTGTAAAAAAAAAAAAAAAAAAATCTTCATCACCCCCCACAAGTAGTACAGTGTCACCATGGTGACACTGTACTGCTAGGGTGACAGTATGTAAAAAAAAAAAATAAAAATAATAATATAAAAAAATAAAATAAAAATGTAAAAAAAAAATGTTTAAAAATTATAATTTTTGCTTATAAACTAATTTGGATTTTTTTTTTTTACTAAAAAGATAACGGAATAAATTTTGGCTAAGATTTATGATGAAATATTATTTATTTGCAAAATTATATAAAAAAAAACACTTTTTTTCAAAATTTTTGGACATTTCATTTACATAGCAAAAAAAATACAAATCCCAGTGGTGAATAAATACCACCAAAATAAAGCTTTATCTGTCTCAAAAAAATGGTAAAAAATTCATTTGGGTACAGTGTTGCATGACCGCGCAATTGTCATTCAAAGTGTGATAGCGCTAAAAGCTGAAAATTGCCCTGGTCAGGAAGGGGGTAAAAGTGTCCGGTCTGGAAGTGGTTAACTTGATCCTGTCTAAATTGGCTATAGTATAGATGCATGTGCAGGAAATGATCAGAATGTGTAAATTGTTAGAGCTATATAAATGGCTCTAATAAAAAAAAAATTAATGAAGAAAATTAGATATTATAAAACTTAATTTTTGTTCATTAAAAAAAACAAATTTGCTGTTTCTATTTTTCATTCTTAGTCCTTCTTTGCTGCTGAAAATGCAAAACATTACCTATTACCTACATACATACATAATACATAGTATTACCTATGGTAGGTGTTCAAAACCCAAGTAAGAATGCTGACAATTTCATTGGCTTCAAGTTCTTCTGAAGCTAACTCCTGGATCCGAGAAGCCAGAGCATAATGATACAGCTCCAAAACTTTACTAAATATGCTGTATGAAGGTGGAAAACACTGCACCATCAAGTTTTTGACTATTATAAGATCATCCAGCACATAACGACGGATGATTTTCTAAATGCCGAACCAACCACATTTTATCAGATTCTCTGGTCTCTGCCTGAGTACCCTCAATTCGTGTTCCAATCGTTTTATCAAAAACTTCAAACATTTTCTGTTTCCACTTCTTTGGTCTTCCCGGTGGAATGAATCCAGTTTGTTTCCTTCTATCCATCATGCGTCGATCTATCTTCTCTTCCCGCTCTATAATGCGAACTACTGATACAAGTAAGGTAGGATCTTTGCGAACAGTGGTTATAGATCTCTGTATAACCATCCACAGCTGTTTGGCCAACTCATCAGACAGATGTTGTACTTCTCCAAAATAAGCTTGAATAAGATTCATGTCATGGGTATTTTTGCTATCCATACGGTATTGCTCATACATGAGGTCATCTCTAGAACACTCCAGGTCCATTAATTTACGATGCGCTTGAAGCATTGCTCCTTGCTCAATAAGATCTTGAGTCTCTTTTACAATTTCTGGGACTATAAGCAAAAAGACAACAAACACATTTATTAAAAGATAAAAAAAAACACAACAAAAACAAAGTCTGATAAATATTATTTACTGCAAAGCAAAGATTGCATGTTTCTTGAATGGCTAATTTGGAAGGGTGTGTTTTATTCAAGTGAAAGTAGCATTACTTTATGTAGCTTATGTATTTCAGTGTAAACTAGGTTATAAGGCTTCAGACACATGGAGGGCGACAGTATAATATTATGGTTGTGCCAAAGTAACACAGCTATGTGCGATTTACCTATGCCAAACAGATGCAACAAACAAAGGATGTTAGCCCATGCAAAAATATTAAGTTATATGTTGTATTTCAGATGGTCATTCTCAGTGGCGTTACTAGGGTTGGTGTCACCTGGTGCTAAAACATGGTGTCAAGCCCACCCCCCCTACAAACACAGGTTTTTTCGCACCGCAGTGGCTCTCTCTCCCAGGGATGGATCTATCCTGTCTGATGTGGGAGTGCAGTAGAAATGTCAGAGGGGCAGAGGATGCAAGGACAGCACTGCAGTGTATAAGAGTCGGCAAGGCAGTGTACAAGGGGTCAGCAGGGCAGAGGATAGGGTCGGCAGTTTCAAGGGTAGTGTACAGGGGACATTAATTTGTAAGGTAGTGTACAGGGGCCATTAGTTTGTAGGGCAGTGTACAGGGGCCATTAGTTTGTAGGGCAGTGTACAGAGGTTTATCAGGGCAGTGGACAGGGGTCAGCAGGCCAATGGATAGGAGGTCAACGGGGCAGCAAAGGTCAGCAGGACAGTGTACAGGGGGTCAGCAGGGCAGTGTACAGGGGATCAGCAGGGCAGTGTACAGGGGGTCAGCAGGACAGCAGACAGAGATTAGTAGGGCAGTGTACAGTACAGTGGTCAGCAGAGAAGAGGACAGGATCAGTGCTGGCAGGGCACTTAGCGGATCCCTTCCCAGCACAAATCCCCCTCTTAATAAAAACATCCCCCCCCCATTCCCCCTCCCAGCACAAATCCCCCCTCCCCCAAATCCTGCCTCATAACACATACCCTTCCCCCATTTCCTCCTTTCAGCACAACCCCTCCACATACTTTTAAATTAAAGCACAAATTATTGTTCACCCCTCATCCCCCCCACCCCCATTGTGTTCCCAGTACAATACCCAACTCCCCTGCCCCTGAATCTTGCAGGCTTCCTGCCTGTACAGGAGAAGTGGCAGAGGTTCAGGCTGAGCTGGGCTCTGTCTCTGCTGTCATAACAGCGATTATTCATCAAACAGCAGATAACACTGGATCGCTCTAACATCAGACTGTACACTGTATGATTACCTATCCACATTTCCTGCTACCGGGAGAACAGCAGTCCTTGGAGGAGATGGAGGCGGGTAATCATACAGTGCACAGTTCAATGTTAGAGTGATCCAGTGTTGTCTGCTGCATGATGAAGGATCCTTATTCTGACAGGAGAGAGAGAGCAAAGCCACTTCTCCTGTCTGGAGTTTACGGTTTACTTTACTTCACTGCCAGCAGGTTTGGACACAATGTCCTGAAGAGGGCAGCCTGAGGAGAACAACTGAAATGTGGGGGTGCAGCCCAGCCCACCCCAGCACCCCCCTAGATCCAGCAATGCTCTCCCCCTAGCCTGCCACAGTGCTTTGTCCTGCAGCTGTGGAATGACAGCAGGTGCAGGACAGAACAGCCGCCGATCAGAGCTGTGCTGTCAAGAATTGGATGGTGTCACCCCTCTGGTAGGTGTCATCCGAGTGTGGTCTGCACCCCCCGCACCCCCATAGCGACGCCATTGACCATTCTAAGTTCCAGTAAACTGGCTATGTTAGCACATGGCTTATTAAGGATATGGATACAGCAACCACAATCTCAATTTATCTCCTTCTATATTTTTTTAAGCACCACTTGCATAACTCCATATACCAATGGATGACATGATGCTACTGTCCTGAAGTCCTTTGCATGCTCTTAATGCAGGACGTGGAATCTGTTTACAGCTTCCATATTTACAAATGTTTCCATGTTTTTAAAGACTAACTACTGCAAATGTGTATGAAGGATGGATGCGTGAGGCTTGTCAGAGGGTTGTGCTCATCTCCTGTATATTGCAAAGCACATTAGGGGTTAATTACTAAAATCTGGTACAACTCTGCATAGAAACCAATTAGCTTTCAGGTTTTATTGCCAAAGCTTAGGTGAACAAGTTGAGGTTAGAAGCCATTGGCTACCATGCACGGCTGCACGAGATGCGGTGGGTGGACCAGTTTTAGTAAAATCGACCCCACTGTGTTTATGTACCAATTCACTAGATCCCAGTTTCAACCATACAGCCAAAGAACAGGAAAATCTCCCACATGTGCGCATCAATGAATTATGTATAAAGTGAATGTTATTTATAGCAGAAATAGTGCCATATGGCCTTCATACTCTTTGATGCTTATCACAATGTAAAATGGTATTAAAATGTATGTATGCAAAACTGTTTTTTTTTAGTTTTGGATAGAGTAGGAAAGAGTACTGGGTACTGTTGAGCCCTTTGCTTCCCTGTCCTGAAGATGTAAAAAAAGAATGAAAGGAAATCTCTCTAAAAAGATTGAAATTACCTAGCTTGGACAAGAATACTAACCTGGAAACTGAAGTGCTACGCCACTGCTAAGAGGTCTAGGTACAACTTTATTCCAATAAATGTCAGGCGGAAAATCCAAAAAGTATCCAGCGTGTTTTGAGGTTCTTGACTTTTATTGGAATAAAGTTGTATCTTGACCTCTTGACAATAGTGTGGTGCTTCAATTTCCATTTTTATTACATTTCACTACAAGCCAAGGAGGCCATGAAGATCCTCTGGAGTGCATAATACTCCTGCCTATGAACCAGATTATTTACATCAGTATCAATACTTTTAGATAACAATACCAAAGGGGTCCAGCGCTATTTTTGCACTCAGAGCCAATTCACACATATGTGGTGCAGATTGAAGCTCGGGTTTCACAGATAATTGATACAGTAACTGTTCACAGGTTCACGTCAGGTTTACATCAGATTCAGGACAAGGTTAGCTCAGGATCTTATGCCGTTCACACATATGCGGTTTAGGAAGGGTTCACATAGAAGTCAATAGCCTGTAATCCGCACCTGAACCTGAAGCCACTGCTCAGAGAATTGGAAATGACTTTGTAAAACCGCACTGAATCTGCACCGGACATATGTGAACAGGCACCATAGGAAGCAATGGTATTTCACATCATGTCATGTGGATTGGATGCAGTTCCAACTGCATCCAATCTGCATATACAGTTATGTCTATATATATTTGGACACAGGCACAACTTTAGTTTTTTTTCAGGTATTTTCCAAAACATATTCAAGCTATAGTTATATAAACGGATATGGGCTGAAAGTGCACACTCTCAGGTTTAATTTGAAGGTATGTACATCCAAATTGGTGGAAGGGTTTAGGAATTACAGCTCTTAAGAGTAGCAATCCCCCCCCCCCCCTTTTTCAAGGGACCAAAAGTAATTGGACAATTAAATCAAAAGCTGTTTCATGTCCAGGTGTGGGCTACTCCTTAGTTATTTCTTCATCAATTAAGCAGGTAAAAGGTCTGGAGTTGATTCTAAGGGTGGTATTTGCATTTGGAATCTATTGCTGTGAACCTACATCATGCGTTCAAAGGAGCTATCCATGCAAGTGAAACAGGCCATTGTAAGGCTTCAAAAATGAAACAAATTCATCAGAGAGATAGCAGCAACATTAAAAGTGGCCAAATCAACAGTTTGGTACATTCTGAGGAAAGAACAATGCACTGGTGAGCTCAGCAACATAAAACGGCATGGATGTCCACAGAAGAAAACAGTGGGATGATCGCAGGATCCTCTACGGTAAAGAAAAACCCATTCACAATATCCAGACAAATGAAGCACACTCTCCAGGAGGTGGGTGTATCATTGGCAAAGTCTACAATCAAGAGAAGACTCTATAAGAGCAAATACAGAGGGTTCACCACAAGGTGCAAACCATTCATAAGCCTGAAGAACAGAAAAGCCAGATTAGACGGTGCCAAAAATGCATCTAAAAAGCCAGACCAGTTCTAGAAAAGCATTCTTTGGACAAATGAAACTAGAATTAATCTGTACCAGAATGATGAGAAGAAGAAAGTGTGGAGAAGGCTTGGAACAGCTCATGAGCCAAAGCACACAATGTCATCTGTAAAACATGGTAGAGGCAGTGTGATGGCATGGGCAAGAATAGCTTCCAGTGGCACTGGGTCACTGGTGTTTATTGATGATGTGACAGAAGCAGCCGGATGAATTCTGCAGTGTTTAGAGATATACTGCCAGCCCAGATTCAGCCAAATGCAGCCAAGTTGATTGGATGGCGCTTCACAGTACAGATGGATAATGATCCAAAACACACTGCAAAAGCAACCCAGGAACTTTTGAAGTAAAAAGTGGAATATTCTGCAACGGCCGAGTCAATCACCTGATCTCAACCCAATTGAGCATGCATTTCACCTACTGAAATCAAAACTAAAGGCAGAATGACCCACAAACAAAGAACAACTGAAGACAGCTGCAGTTAGAGCCTGGCAAAGCATCAGAAAGGAGAAAACCCAGTCTTTGGTAATGTCATTGGGTTCCAGACTTCAGGCAGTCATTGCCAGTAAAGGATTCTACACAAAATATTAAAAGTTAATATTTTATTTATGATTATATTCATTAGTCCAATTAAATTTGAGCCCCTGAAAATGGAGGGACTGTGTATAAAAATAGTTGCAGTTCCTAAAATTTGTACTTGATATCTATGTTCAACCCCTTGTATTACAGCTGAAAGTCTGCACTTCAATTTCATTTCAATTGTTTTGTTTTAAGTTATTCTTGTGGCATACAGAGCCAAAAGTATGAAAATTGTGCCTGTGTCCAAATATATATGGAACTAACTGTATGTGAACAGGCACTTAAGAGCTGATTCACACATGTACGGTGCGAATTGAAGCTCAAGT